CGACGGCGAGGTGCGGCGCGGCGCGGGCGGGGCGGCGACGGCGTCGGGGCGGCGCGGGCCGGGGCGGCGACGGCGTCGGGGCGGCGCAGGACGGGGCGGCGCGGAGACGGCGTCGGGATGGGGCAGCGCGGGACGGGGCGGCTCGAGAGCAGGCCGGAGAAGAGATTGAAGTGGGGATGGGCGGTTTCTAAATTTTTCCTAAGTGCTACTTATATAGCAAAAGCATTGATCCCGCTTCGTGGCACCAACCGGGACCAATGCAGCCCTTTAGTCCCGGTTGATGCCTCCAACCGGGACCAAAGACCTCTTTTCAGCAGCCCAAAGGGCGGGAAGCAAAGGCCTTTGGTCCCGGTTGGAGGCCCCAACCGGGACTAAAGGGGGGACATTGGTACCGGTTGGTGCCACGAACCGGTTCCAATGCCCCCCTTTATTCCCGGTTGGTGCCGCCAACCGGAACCAAAGGCCCTTGTGTTGCCTGCATCGCGGCCAAAGTTTAGTCCCACCTCGCTAGTTGAGACGGCTCGAGAGTTGTTTATAAGCGCTGCTGCGCCCACCCTCTCGAGCTCCTCTCAACTACAGGCTTTCGGGTCTGATCTCACACTATGCTGCTGTGGGCCTATTGGGCCTTCTGCGGGCCTGAATCTTGGCCCAGGTTGGGTTTCTAGTCGTATTCAGGCCGTGGTGGCCCAATAGGTGGCCGTTTTTTAGTTTCTTTTAGTTTTTTTCTGCATTATTCATTTTCTTTTGTTTTTTGCTTTATTTTTAAATTCTTTTTGCTTTTAGTTTTAGAAAAGTTATAAACTTTCTGTTAGTGCCATTAGTTTTCAAATGTGAAAACACTTTTTTGGTTTTTTTTGTTTTCTTTCTTGCTTTATTTGTTTCATTTTGTTTCTACTTACAACAAAATACTTATCATTGCTATTTATCTTTTTTTCCAGTTTTTTTTGTTTTGTTTTCTGCATTATTTATTTTCTTTTGTTTTTTGCATTCTTTTTTAATTCTTTTTGCTTTTAGTTTTAGAAAAATTATAAACTTTCTGTTAGTGCCATTAGTTTTCAAATTTGAAAACACTTTTTTTGTTTTTTTGTTTTTTTGTTGCTTTACTTATTTTATTTTGTTTCTACTTACAACAAAATACTTATTGTTGCTATTTTTATGATAATCCTTTTTGCTATTAAAGTTTGTAACAAAATTCTATATAATTTTAGTTTCAATAATACTAGAGGTTTATAAAAGCTTTTTAGTTGATTCCTTCAGTACCAGTTCTAAGGCTGTTACAAAGGCATTTTATTTGGTAGAGGTTTTAAGGCTGGTGCCGCACGAGCACCTTTTAGTACCGGTTCGTGCCATGAACCGGTAAAAGAGTTTTTTAGTTGATTTTTTCTGCAGATGTTTTTTAGTCCCACCTCACCAAGCGAAAGGAACTTGTAGCGGTTTATAAGGCCCGAGTGCAGAGATGATGCAGAAGAGGCTCAATGCTAACCTGCACGTTGCTTAGCTTTAAGCCTTGAGGAATATGGTAGACTGCACGGAGCTATGTGCAGGGCAGTTTACACTATTCCGAAAGGCTTGAAGCTAATTAACAAGCATTGCACCTCTTTTTTATTTTTAAAGACTTATTACAACTCAGAAATAAATAGAAAAAAATATAGCAGAAAAGAAAAAAACTATATAAAAAACTACTCAGAAATAAATAGAAGAAAAAATAGTTGTGATCAACTTTACTAAAAAATGAGCATAGATGCGCTTATAGAGAAAATTAGACCTAAATTCATAATAAATTTCTACTAACTTCAAAGAAACTCAATATGAATTTAGGTCAAATTCCCTGTATAAGGGCATCTATTTTCACTTTGAGAGGAGCTCAATAAGGCAGAGAGGGAGGGGCTTATAAACGGATGTGAGCGCCCTTCGGTTGGCGAGGTGGGACTAAACTCTGACCGCAACGAGGACCAATCCTTTAGTCCCGGTTCGTGCCACCAACCGGGACTAATGGGCTGCCTTTGTCCCGGTTCGTCCCACCAACCGGGACCAATGGTGGTGGGCCAGAAGCGAGGCCCATTGGTCCCGGTTCGTCCCACCAACCGAGACCAAAAGGTCATGACGAACCGGGACCAATGGCCCACGTGGCCCGGCCAGCCCCTGGGGCTCACGAACCGGGTCCAATGCCACCATTGGTCCCGGTTCTGGACCGAACCGGGACTAATGGGCTGACCCGGCCTGGACCATTGCCCCCTTTTCTACTAGTGATATGGTTGCTCATATCTCTTGAAATAAGCATCTTGAATCGGCGACATTCTACCTTACATTATTTTTAAACTTGCCTTTCGACACACTTCACATCGATGAGACGGTGACAGGGAACAATGGATTTGATCTAGATGAGTTGGCGAAGGGGTGACAATTTTGCATTGATATGCTAATAAGCACATTTCTGTTGTAGCCGCACTTCAACGATTTCCCAAATTGCTTAATACCATCCACATCACATTTGTTCTCAAGCCACTGCTCAACATGTACAATTTTTATGTGTGTGCGGCTTGAATGTCCCTTGCCTTGTACTTTTAGCCTGTTGTGGCATCATTTGAGTTGGTAGACATTTGAATTAAAAAGTGAAAAATATAATTGTTTGTATTTCCAGAACTGCACTAATATTCTTACTTCACTTTATGTTCATATTTGCCTTTCAATACAATAAGTAAAATGCAGTTTTGATGATATATAGAGAAACATCGGGTAATGCATAACAAATGTTCAACTTCCGACTTGTTCATAAAGAAACATTACCCTGTTTTTAGAAAAGACACCCAAATGGCACCTTTAGATCTGATAATTAACAAAGAAAACAATAGCCAGTAAAATGAAAAGACAACCGGATGTAAAACGATCAGTAGAAATAAAATAAAACTATACTAGCTTTTTCTTCTTTCGATTGTACGTCGCCCACTGGAAATTGAAAACTGAACTGAATCAACAGTAAAGGTAATAGAAATCAGCAACACCGACTTCTGCAAGGAAGATTGAGAGGAAAACATGTTTGTATTACAAACTGACTTTTTGTCACACGAAGATGTTTCAAAAATACCAATCCATGCATGCCCTAACAAACATAGGAAAATGGTTTCCCCGGCAATTTGGTTCAAAAGCTAACAAGGAAAATCATTTTTAATAATGTATAAAAATGATAAACTAGAAAAAAATTTGCACCTACATAATTCATAACATACTGAAAAACTAATCAGTTTGTGTGAAGAACACATATTGGCACTAAAACTTTCTTTTGGATGGTAATTTACTTTTTTTGTGCATGCCTAAATTTTTTACAAAGGCATTTTTAGTGATATGGATGCAAATATACGCTTGCTTTTTCATCGGATCAATTCCACAAAATCAGATAGGTTCAACTTATCATTGTTGTGAGGAGAAAAGAAGTTCATTCTTAATTTTTTATAAAGATGTTTAGCGATGCATGAAACCTACCTGACGCAGGAGGTTTTGTCTAGTCAGGCTCTCAAGTATACTGCACAACAGCTGCATTTGTTTTTTTTACTTTGTATATTAGTTTTGTCCATGTTTTTTGAAGTTTGACTAAGTTTATATCCCCCTGTTTCAGAATATAATTTGTATTAGTATTTTCGGAAGTCAAATTTGGGCATGTTTACCCCAAAGAAAAAAATGTGCATGTTTGACCAAGTTTTTAGAAGAAAAAAAATGACCTTGACAGAAATCTATATACTGGAACATGGGAAGTAGAAGAAAAAGGTCAACGACCTTCACAATAGAAAATCAATATTAATAGATCGATCATGAAATATATTTATCACATTGTATTTATTTTCTATTAAAGACGTTGCTATTTATTAAAAGAATATGATCAAACTTACAAAGTTTGATTCAAGACAAAACCAGTATGCAAAATAAAACAAACAAAGGTTGAAGGCAGCATATCGAAGTTATTGGAGATCCAGACGCAAAAATGCGAACGGTGCAAATTTTATAATAATATTTCATACTCAGACCGAAAAAAGACAAATACATTCACAGAAACACAGGCCGAGTTCTTTTTTCCTTGGGTCGGCAATTTTTTTTGTGTGTAGCTTACAAATCACGGTAATTTTTAGAACGAAATTTTACATATCCGTAGTGGACATGTATACGTTTTCGTAAAAAAAATTGATTTTTTTCTGAAACTTGGAGATATCTTTTTCAATTTTTTTTTGAAATAACGGGCATTCTATCGTGCTTATAATAATTCTCTTAATAAATCTCCAGATCATATCTGTGTGAGTTATCTTTTAGACCGTTAGATAAAAGATCCTGCCACCCAAACTGCATCTCATTGCCCTATACCAACACAAACTGCCGTCTCTCCTGGCGCCGCCGCCTCGACGGTGCCAGGGAACCCGGCGGCGCCTCCTCCTTCCTCTCCTCGCCGAATCCGTTTTCTACTCCTCCACGGCCCCTTCTTCATCACCGGGACGTTGACGCCCGGGCCCAGCGCACCGCCGCTCCTCTGCGACAGCGGCCAGGGTGCGTTGTTCCTCCAAGGCTTGTTGTTTGGTCCCCTTGCACCCGGTCGTTCAAAGCAAGGGTTGTTCGTTTCGATCTCTTAACTTACGAGGTACCTACTCTCATCTCCACTAATTTGAGTAAAAATCTTCGGGATTGACATATTGTACTTGAAGTGCTTTTTTTAAAATTAAACTTAATGTGTACGTGAAGTGCATTTTTTCAGAAGTCTTTGATCAAGGTATGTGCAGTACTTCCAAGAGAAGAGGGGCTTGAAAAAACAGAGAGAGAAAGAAAATGTCAGGCAACAACAGGTCAACAGCAAATTCAGTTTATTTAACAAATACGCTAATAAGTGATTTGGCTAGTTGCAGTGAATTTTAACAAACGTAGAAGCCTTTGATCAAAATATGCACTGTACTTACAAGAGAAGATGAGATTATAAAAATGAGGAGGTTAAAACAGGACAGACAACAATAGGTCAACAGCAAAATCAGAGTCATTAGAGTTGATGTTTTAGTGTATAAAAGGAGTATCAAAGCTGCTAGGGTCACTGCTGGCTTTTAACCCACCCACTACACTGCTGCAGGCCTACTGTGCGTGATCGCATTGCCTCAGGCAGTTCCTTGCTTTTGCCAGCAAGGCTAGTTGGGCAATTTCTGTCTTGGCAAAGGATCCGAGCAGCCCCTTATATACTTGCAATATCCAAATGACCTTAATTACCTCTAGCAATTGTCTGTCATCTCAGCTAGTTTTGCATTTTCTGTTCAAGTTAGTTGAGGCGTTTGATGCCACTGGGTTTCTTTTTCTGTACACAGCTTCCATCATAGTATATCGATTCGTCAGATTTGGGATTTTCATGTAAAATTACTTGTATTTTCAGATACCTGCTAGTGTCCAGTATAACAGTTTTTACAACCATATTCTGCTTGTTCAAAAGGGCATTTGGATTGTTTCATTGACTCCAGGGTTGGGAAGATGCAGAATACCAAGCGCAAGCGAAGAAGCAACGACATAGGATGCCTTAATGAAAACAAAAGTGCTAGCAAAACAGTACTTACGCAACGTTAGTCACTGATTCTTCGTCCTTTTATTTCCCTGCAAGTATTTTTACACGGCAAAACTGCTGTAGCACTCACAATTGCTTACCAGTACCATGTTTCCTTAATTAACTAGGACCCATCCATCCAGATATTACTACATTTGAAGATGGATTTGGTAACTTGCTTAAATCCTCGGAAAGTTCCTCTAGTGAACTCACCAAACAGATTGAGTCGAAACTGTCAGAGAGTGTTGTCTCCCTTGCTTCATTCGTTGGTAATTATATTGTTACATGCCCATTATTTTCCATATCTGTATTTCAGTAATCAATGTCGAAACTATTATTATCTGTAGGGAGTACAGTGCTATTTGAATGCACGGGAATATTTATTGAGAATTTATGTACTGATGCCACAAGTATTCTGACTTCAACTAATATAGTTGGGTCTTCAGATTCTGAGATCACTGATAACTTGACGGTTGGTACTGCAAACTTCTCTCTACTTTTCTTTGCCTATGAATAATAGTAACATCCTGTTCACCTATTCTTGGTTTATCGATGCAGATTAAAGTGCGCCTTCCCAGTAATCTAGTTGTCATTGGCTGGTTACACCATTGTGATTTCAAGTATAATCTTGCTGTTGTGAACATCAGACACGCACGTGGTTTTCAGGAAGCACATCTCAGTCGTAGCCATGGCATGCAATTTGAGCCGAATAGTAAGTTAGTAGCTGTTGGGTGTTGTTTCGACTCAGGCATGCTAAAGTCCACAAATGCGACAGTAATTGGCAGTGCAAGTGATGGAGTCTGTGAGCTTATGCTCTCCACATATGAAATGAACACGGTGAGATGCTGTTTTTTCTTAGTTCTCTGCATGGTGGAAATAATTATATGTATATAGATTAAATCTATCGCATACCACTGAACTATCAGTTGAGATATTATCGATCCCATTTTTCCTATGCAACTTTCTTCATTACCACTTCCAATTTTGTGCTAGGCTTGGATTGGGTGCCCCCTTGTTGATTTCGATGGGAACTTTGTTGGAATGAACCTCCAAAGTGGCGAAAGGACTATGTTCGCACCAGTGAACAGAATTCTTGAATGCCTTCGGTACCTTGGGTTGGTATTTCTAGACTTACAGTATTTACAAGCTGTAGTCTCTCTGTTTGGCTTTACCATGTGTGTCCTCCCGTTGTGCTGTCCTGCGTTCCTGTCTGATTTGATTTGAATCTACTGTTTTGGGTGCCAAACAGTATTTGTGGTATGCATAGTAGGTTTTTCTTTGGTACATTTCCATCCTTCAGCTGTTCTAGTTGCTTTGCATTTTGTGAACCTGGACACTTGTGCCATTACCATCTGGCATGTCGCCCTGCTTTGGAGACTAGACACTAGACTGTGCTAATACATTTTGCTAATTAAAAGTGCAATTAAACTTTGTTTAAAACTACAGTATGGATACTAGAACTTACATTCATGACATCCCTGGAGATTGATGCGTTGTTTGCTCAATTCTGTTTTGTGGTGAATCATCTGTAAGACTGTAACCTACTTTCTCCTTTGTGGCCCTGTTTGATAAATGAATTTGCTATAATCTCTGACTTCTTGTTCTTCAGTGGATTTGTCATGATGTGTTTTTGTACAAAGTGCAGGGTTGGAAGTAATCAAGTGCTTGTTGGTATAAAAGAAGCAAGCACAACCAAGACACAAAATGCTGGCATGCCTAAAGGTTAGTTTCTTTCTTTTTTTAGTACTTCAACATCTTGTGACACAATATTAAAAAAAGGCGTATCCAGTGCTGAAAGCTCCCATACAAGGTGGGTATTGGGGAATGGAATTTCTAGAAAGTCTTACCCTTGCACAACAATTCTGTGAGGAGGCTGGTTCTAACCCAGGACCTCCAGGCCACAAGTGGGAAGACTCTACCACTGCGCCAGGCACGCCCTGCATCTTAGATAAGATGCATTTGCTAATTGACTCACCTTGTTGTACATATTTCATGCAACGTTATAGTGAACCTCTAATACGTGATGGTTGTCCCCCACCTGCTATGTTATGTGGTGGTCAGCTGCTGCTGTTAATTTTTCTGAGTACCCCTTCAATGCTGCCAACTGACATGTCATGTTTCTTTAAACAGATGGTATGCATGAGATTAACTCTTTTGAAGAGGAATTCGAGGATAATATCTGGAGCACACTCAGTGAAGATGTTGCAAGCACTATGGCTGGATGTGTTGTCTCACTTGCTTCATTCAATGGTGATTGTGTTGCAATATCCTCATTTTTATTTCTCTTATTTCACTGCTTATTAAAGAAAAAATTATGATGTGTGCAGGAAAGTCAAAGTGTTTTGCTTGCACAGGCCTAATTATAGACTGTACTCCCGTGAGAATTCTTACTTCGGCAAGTTTGGTTAAAATTTCTGGCGATGAAAACAAGATTGATGATAACTTGCAGGTTGGCACTGGCAGTGCATAGCATTGTTTGTGCCTTTTTTTGTCTGTTTATGAACCAGTTTATAACCTTATCATTGCAGATTGAAGTGTACCTTAATAATACAGAACAAGTCACGGGGACATTGAGACATTATGATCTATGCTATAATGTTGCGGTTGTAGAGATCATGGGTTCCTGCGGTTCTACAGCAGTGGGATTGAGGAGGCATATTTCTTTCACCCATAATATCGAGGTTTTATCTGTAGGGCGACTCATTGAACATCGGAAACTAATGGCCTCAAGAGGGGTGTTAATTGACAGAAAAGGCAAACTTGCTTGTGAAGAGCTTAGGATTTCCACTTGTAAAATCACCAAGGTATATGTATATTTTGCCAACACATATGTTTCACATGAGGCAAAATAATTATTTGTGTTAGAAATATGATCAACTCATCATTGAATATATTGAATTTAATCTGTAATTAATTATACATATCATATTTTTTTGGCACCCCCTTTTTCTAGTCACTTAAGTTTTTCTTTATCCAGGCCGGAATTGGAGGGCCTCTTATTGATGCTCGAGGGAATTTTGTTGGTATGAATTTCTTCCATGATGAAGAAACCCCGTACCTACCGAGGGAAAAAATTCAGGAAGTCATGAGACGTTTCAATGAAGAACGGTATGCCCAATATTTTTTGTCATGGTGTAATGTTCAGGTTTGCGTAAGCTCTTTTTGATGCCTGAGATTTACATGTAGTTGTACATGGCTTTTGTGTTCCAACAACGTCCACAGTGTTTAAAATTTTCACCTCCTTACCATCCCAACATTACTTAGGCATCTCTTGTTTGGACATGAAAAAGGGCCCACACAGTTGACATGATGCTGATCAATTTTCCTCATTTGGGCTCCAGTCTATGGCTTGTTAGCTACTCCCTCTGTAAAGAAATATAAGAGCATTTAGATCACTAAAGTAGTGATCTAAGCGCTCTTATATTTCTTTACGGAGGGAGTAGAGGCCAACAGTAGAGACTATATAGTAGCCCAAAGGCCCTTACTGATGCACCTTAAAGTAGAGTAGGGACCGAGGGAGAGTAATGTTGCTTTGAATGCTCCAAGGAAATGATGGAACAATATCTGAAATTTCAGAGCTAATTCCAACAATTTGAAAATTTCCTCTGATATAACGATAAAAGTTGGTTCTAATAAGGCCTACAGTTGAAAACTTGAACCATTTCGTGGTGCTGAGACAGAGACCCCTCTCATTGATGAATCTGATTCAGTTATATGATGTTAACACTAATTCTTTTTTCTTTTTATTTTGTAGCGCGAATGACAGTTGGCCTGAACCAAGACATCGTTATTTTATACCAACTTGGTACCCTATACCGTTTGGTTTGTTCCCAGAAAGCGACGTGTACGTTGATAGTTTAGATGATGTATATTCAAAGTTTGCTTGGCATTAGTGAGACTATTTGTTGGTTGTGTGTAGCTGCACTCTTATCAATCATGGAACTGCTTGTTACTAATGTATCCTTGTGAATTTCGAGACTACTCATGAGCGAAATCCTTGTTCAGTTGTGTTTATTTCTATACCAACTCCCCTGTATTTCAGATATACATGGTTGTCCAATAAACTTTACTCGGATTCTTGAGTTATTTGTTTGGCAATTACAACCGCTAATCGACTGTTTTATTTTAATTCTATGTCCAACACTCGTTGTAGAATGTCGCTTCTTGCGTGTAATACATCATTTTGAGGAATCTCTTGCACGTATATTCATCATTCATCTTGAGAAACTCTCTCATTATTCACGGGAAACTCCTCGTTGTAGAATGTCGATTATTTTTTTTGAAACTGTGATGATTTTTATAGCAAATTTGGAATCTATACGCCCTGACGCAGAAAAACCAAAAATATCACCCGGCGGCCTCCAGTTGGCCGAAGAGGGGCTCTTCGGTCTGCGGTTGCCCGAAGTGGGCTCTTCAGCCTCCCATTGGCCGAAGTGTGCCCCAACTGGGCCGAAAAGGAGTTGTCAGCGGCCTGGTGACCGAAGAGGTGGGCTTCGGCCTACCTACGGTCGAAGAGCCCGTCTTCGGCCTACCAGCGGCCGAAAAGATCTTTGGCCTACCCGCGATCGAAGAGGTCCGGATAAGGCCGACGCAGCCGTCTTCTTCCTCTGGCTGCCCTATCTCCACCCCGCGCCGATCTCCTTCGATTTGCATCCATTTTTAGATCCAAGCCACAAAAACAGTAGATCGTCACAATTCCCGGCGGTCTACGGTCATTTTTTTCAATGGGATAGGTTTTTGTGCGTACATGTGAGGAGGAACCATGGTAGGCTAGAGGAGGTGCGGCTTGGGAGGTGGTGAGGAGGAGGTGCGGCTGGGGAGGAGGAGGTGGTGAGAAGGAGGTAGAGCTGGGGTGGTTTTCGGAGTTGAACCTCCGGTCGTCGTGGTGGCAGCGGTGGTGTTGTCCGGTGGTGCAAGTACTCCGCGAGGTGGCCAGTGCCGCTGAGTTGAAGAGAGGAGCAAGAAGCCTGGGATACAGGCGCCAAAGGTATAACCGTATTGTCACAAATTTTCTCTGAGTTGTACAATTTAGTTAGTGTAGATTAGTCATATTGCATTCTTCTAGTGTTAATTTGTCTATGGTGGTATTTTAGCGGTTAGTTAGTGTAGCAGTTAATAATTTTGTCCGTTGAGATTAATGAGAAGATGGCAATGTCTGACAGGTGAAAGATGTCTAAATCAGTAAATTTGACTGTTTACTACGACCCTGGTAATGTTTGATATAATGAGTTGGGGGTTGATCTTAGCGAGTTTAAAAATGGCGTCATGACACTTTCAGACCCGGACAGACTGGACATTAGACAGTTGAAGTAGTGGTTGACTACTAGTTTTGGGTTGGATTTGAAGTATGTTCCATCAGTATTCATGCATTGTGGATCAAATTCTGTAAAAATGTCAAGCGGGAGTTGATGTCGATAGATAAGAGCCAACATTGGTTGACCCTATTAAGTCGTTGCCGGGACCAAAGAATCCACCCATATGCCCTAGTGCAACCTATGCCAAAGGAGTAGAATATCGTACAATTGCACGTGGGGTATGAACCCGGCCATGGCAGTCAAGTGGCTAACGAGATTGATTTATCCGGGTCACAGCCTCCGGATGTGAATGCTAGCCAACCCGAGAAAGAGTCAGACTACGTGTCACACAATGTTTATGGTCAGAATACTGGGCAAGTAGTCAGTCGATAATATTAACTGGTTCTAATTTTGCTGATGGGGATGAGGAAGGGGAGGTTGAAACAGGTTGTCCTGGAAAGGTCCACGGGCATGTGCCGAAGTAGACATCCACTGGGTTGTCACCGATGTCGTCCCACATAATTGTGTGAGGAAGAACCTTCTGGTGAATCATCCAAACCTGACTTCAACTCTCATTGCGCAACTCATGTATACTGAGATAGTGAAGAAGAAAGATATGGAAGCAAAACACATCCATACAGCAATGAAGGTCAGATGGAATTATAACATTCCTTATGGAAAGGCTTGAAGGGCTAAGCAAAAGGCTATGGAGGAAAGGTTTGGGACGTTCTTCGACTCATACGATAATGTTGTCCGTCTCCTGGACATACTGAAGGAGGAATTCCGGCACTTATGTTAACATACAACACACAAGGTTGCCGAGTATACCAGATTTCAAGGTGTTGAAATGTGTATTCTTCTCTTTCGCCTATTTGTAATGTTGTTTGGACTATGTTTTAATTTGTAATGTCGCCCAGGGACTCTTCGGCCTACCCTTGACCGAGAAGTCCTCTTCGACCAAACGCCGACCAAAAATGCATTCTTCAGCCCACCCGCGTCTCTTTCTGGCCAACTGGTGACCGAAGAGTCCTCTTCGGCCAACCGCAAGCCGAAAAGCTTCTCTTTGGTCATCCAGAGGCCGACGGGGTCATAGTATTGATTTTTGTGAGTTAAGTCGTATAGTTTCAAAAAAAAAAAAACTTGTTCGCGTAGTAGCGTTCATGAGAATATGAGATATTGATATGGAACCGGGAGCCAATTGCTAGCTAGCTTGGTTGCATATAAGTTAAGTTCTAGGAAAATGATTATGTTTGCCCGACTGATTTCAGTCGCGTTCCATTGGTCCCACCGACCGCCTATCCTTATCACCTTAACTGCAACGCAAGGCGAACCACTCTGTGGTCGGATGGTTAGAGGGATTGTGGTATCCCCAAAGGTTCAAATTCTGATGCTCGCATTTATTTCTGAATTTATTTCAGGATTTCCGGCGATGCACATTCAGTGGGATAAAATGTTCCCGTCAATGATGAGGTGCCTATGATGACTTCGTAAATTTCAAGATGATGTGTGGGCTTAGTTTTTCGAAGGTTCTCACAAGGTAGGGTGTGCGTGTGTGCGTTCACAGAGGTGAGTGTATGTGCGTCTATATGAGCGCTTGTATTTGTACTGTGTTAAAAAAAACTACAACGCAAGGACGTGAGCCGCATGTTTCCTCTTTCTTCCCTTAGAGACGTGATCCCCTTTTTTTCATCTCTCCGCCGCTTCTTCTTTGCGCACGCGTGGTTCTCGCCACCATGGGCGATGTAGCCAAGCTCCTATGCCGCTCCAATCAAGGATGCACACGCCATCAATCATGTTGCAGGGGCCGCCGCATCCTGCGATACAACGCTAGCGACCGTGAAGAGATGCATCAGTGCTCCTATGCAGCTTTTTGCTAGCTGCTGTCGGTGCTAGGATGCAGTGGTCGTCGGTGCTGCTGGAGCTACAATGCAGCACTCACGATGCTGCGGGGATGCACCAATGGCCCGATGCAGCCCTTACCGGCAGTTGTTGGTGTCGTGATAGAGCGCTCGTTGGCGCTGCCGGAGTTGCAATGCAGCGCTCACGATGCTGCTGAGAGGCACTGGTGTTCTAATGCAGCGCTGCCGGAGATGCGCGATGCAACACTTGTGAGGCCGTAGATACGCACCGGTGCTTGGCGTAGCGCTCGCCGATGACTGTTGGTGTTGGGAAACGTTCATCGGTGCTGCCGAAGCTGCAATGCAACGCTCACGACACCGTAGAGAGGCTATATGTGCGTCGATGCAGCACTCGTCAGCAGACGTGGCGGGCGACAGCTGCTGCAAGGGGAGACAGGGGTGTGATTGGTAAGGCGAGCGACCGAAGGGGTGCACCCCTGCCGCGGGGCAGCGGCTATAGCCGAGAGGGCAACGAAGTAGGGGAATGACACGATGTTGCGTTGACTGATCGAGCGGCTACACTTGATGGATCCAACGGCTCGAAATCACCTTGTCTACCGGCAAGATGACACCTAGCTGACGCCTACGAATTCACTAGCTAGTACCCGCAACACACACACACACACACACACACACACACACACACACAGAAATCAATGGGGGCGGCGTGACTGAACGAGCTCAATCTCGTGCGCAAATCTCATCCCGGAACGAGCTCTCCCGAACAGCCGACACGAGTCGCCCGGCGGACTAGGTTTGCCGCCGCCGGCCCTTCTGGTCGTCGTCAGTTGCGTCCTACTCCGGCGCGTGCCCTGCTCCTTCGCCCCTAGTCCACGTCGTCGCCTTGCTCTACAGCCCGTCGTCCCCCGCCCCAGCACACTGGTTGACCTCCACGCATGTGCTCCTCTGCCATTGCCAAGACGTCTACGGAGACTCCGGGCTGTTTTTCTAGAACGAAGGCTCAAGAAGAGACTGACTTTGAATTAACAAAGCTATCAACCGGCCAGGATTACATCGAACAAACAAAGGAAACAATGAACAGAACAGCAAGCTGATACATGGTGCTGTGTAAAAGCTATCAGGCTACTACAAACTACTACTCCCTCCGTTCACTTTTGTAAGTCCTTTCAGACAGCTCAAAATAGGCTGTTTTGCATATTGTCTGAAATGTCTTCAAGGTCTTATAAAAATGAACAGAGGGAGTAGCAAAGATACGAAAACTAAAGCACAAGTCAAGCTAGAAGTCAAAGAAGCCCTCCACAGCGAGCAGAACACCACGCAGGGCACCAACAAAGCTTGGGGAAGAAACAAACAATAGTTGGAGGAGCTCCGCTGTCAGCTCCATGGGCTCTGGCCGTCGATGTCGTCCTCCTCCACCTCAGAAGGGGGCTCCCTGCCCCCTCGCCCTGGCACGAAGGGCGCCGATTAGTCGAAAGGTGGAGACGCCCACCAGAGGGCTAAAGAGCGACCGACGCCGTTGCCAACCGGAAGACCACACCAGGACACCACCGCCAAACTACTTGGAGCTCATCCAAGGAAAGCATCAGCAATACATGATCTGCACACGAGGAGAAGCAAGCTACACGGCAAGGCTGCTGAAGACCGAGCAACCCCCAACCGGAACAAGCACACTTTCCCCAAAGCTCACCAAAGACGGCACCCCCTTGAGGGTGACGGCGCCCACGGCGTCGCTGCCACCCA